TATATATATATATATATATATATATATCGTTAGCAACTGAAAGAAGATTCAGATGCAGGTCCAACCAAATATCAATCTCAGCCTACCTTCTCATCTAGACCATGAATGAAACTCTCTGTTGCACTCATCACTCTGCCAAATGGTATTGGAAATTCAATATTGCCCCACCTGCAGAAAAAGAAGTTGCATTAAAGGATGATTATAATACCTACTATAGTGCATAACACCAAATGCATTTTGTTTATTTGTTTGTGATATTAGAAGAATAAAAGCATAAAGAAATATACTTCTTGAAGTTCTTGAAAGCAGCAGTGTCATCCAGCTCGCCTCTCATATCCAGAGGATAAGGCTTTCGATTAACAAGTGTGAACGGGTTCATCTCTAGAAAAGTGAAGTCAAGATCTGACAAGTAGAAACTTGTCAAAATTAGTGGCAAGTTTGAGGTGATTGTAAAGTTGCCCTAGACTTGGCACAGCACCAGATTTTTTAAATACCTTGGAAAACAGCAAAAATCACTTTGATGTACTCCAGGATTTCTTCCTTGATCTGTTATGATAAAAATACACTGCATCAATTACTCGAATATTTGTTTAAAGACAGAGATTACCGTGTAATTCAATGGACTGTCTCATATTGTATGAATACATATTAGGTTAATGCTGTTAATGATCAAGATACCTTTGAGTTAAGAAAAGGAAACCAAATGCTAGAATGCTGATCTAAAGATGCTACCAAAGCTATGACAAAGCAAAAACAGCCCATGAATCCATCAACAGCCAAAAAGTTACCTCCAAGGGAAGGGTTGCAACAAGTGGAGCACATACTTCTGATGTAAAAGATATCCCCGTTGGGACAGATATGGACTTGACCTGGATAAAGGTTAAAACCATTCTTAGAAAATATAAAAGGAAAAAAAAAAAAAAAAAACTGACAAACAATTTTAGTAAACTGATAATTAAAAAACATATGGATATACAAAAGAGTACCTTATCCCAGTTCTCTTCAATTTCAATTCCTCCACACTCTGAAAAACTAATGCTGCATCCAAGCCTATCAGATACAATGTTAAGGTAGAACTCCTCATTGTGAGGGATGAAGGGTTCAACAATGAATGTTGTCACGGGTCCCCTACATCCGCCCATCTCAACCTGTATAAGCCAAGGAAGATAACACGCATGATCATGTGAACCAAACTCCAATCTTAGTAATATGAAAAAGAATTTAATGGCAAACAAAACTAAAAAAATGAAGATCAGAACCAAACCTCTTTGCCTAAGCGTTCTTTGACAAAAGCAACAACCTGAGAAAAATCAAGATTCAAGCCCA